TCGACTGTCCGCAGCGTTTGCGATAACCTGGCAGCAGCTATTGTGAGGCTTCTTCAGCACAGTAAAGCTTTTGCTACCAACACCGTCTTACCTGACTTGTGATTTGGGGGGACCCTCTTGTCGACACAACTACTTGTAGTACTTACTGCAATAACTTCGAGAAATATTATTCCTAGCACTGGAGCAAAAACGACCCCAGTTTTAATTTAATCTTCGGTCATGAAATCAACTTCCTATTTGGTTAGCCAATCCTGAAAGTTTGTAGAACTGACGCCGAATTAGTAGCCTTGTTCTAGTCAACAGGGGCTGATAACACGGCTAAAGGTGGAAGTAACGATGCCATACAACAATGCTAGGTCGATGAAGGCCAACCACGGGTGTCTGATTGTTCTCGAGGGCACTGAAGTCAAAAGAACGCAAGCTCGAGTTCCACTTTTGAGCACTGAAATGGTCGCAAGCTTGGGCTGGGCCCTATACAGACTGACAAACGCCTGAGTTATGTTTGCAAAACCTATCAAATAACTGGAAATTGTGAATTACCTTGTGCATAAACAGTACGAAAGCAACTTCGGAAATGAAGAAGGCGATATAGAAGATCGGTAGGATGATGTGCCCGTTAAAGAAGTCCTTAGATCCGCGACATTCATACGCCTTGGAGATGGTGTAGATGATCGACATGATTCCGAACACTGAAAAGAAAATGGTCAAATTAGATGTTCTGCGTGCCTGAGCGTACTAACAAATTAAAAGAGCATGAAAAATTGGAAACTACGTCTTTTTTTAGGATGAGCCAAGTCAGCTGACTGTATTTTAGTTTTTAGGTCGCATTAAAATTACTATACACAGTCCGCTAAATTACACTGATGGCTGGGTAAATCAGCCTTATGAATAGTATTTAAGCATCTGCGAGTATTATGTTTTACGAAAAAAATTACCAACATCAGAAATTTACATTTATGGTGGGTATATCATTTTGTAATTTAGGTGAGACTAACTGTACGACATCGCATTTTTTTCCAGAAGCCAGAAACGGATTTAAATTTTGAAATTGTTTGCCAACCCCCGCGGTAATTTTTCTTACTATGCAGCAATAAAATTGCCTGACCATATTTTGTTTTTCCACACCATAAATAAAATATATTTTTAACCATGCAGATGGACAACGAAAATGATCTACCGTTTGTCTGAAGCGTGTGACAGGATACTTGCTTTCCTAATATAGTTTCCACTAATGCGTGATTTAGAAATAGAATGGACAGAAGTTAACGAGTATGTATTCGGCCACTCATTGATGCATTTGTAGTCTTAGAAAAAGACCTCAAATTAAACAAATATATCAGGAAACATTCCAATACAAAGGGGAAGGGAGTTCGGCAAAAGTAGCTGATGTAGTCCCACTCATAGACCCCTAGTCCCAGCATTTTTTCTTGCGAAAACGGAAGAAATTTTTTAGACGTAAGTGTAAAGAGAAAAATGTAGACGAATTTGTTTCCCACGGCAGCAGGGAGCAGGTTTTTCCGCATGTAAATTGCCGGTGTGCGCGGCCATTCGCGTCTCAAGCTATACTTATGTAACTCCAGAACGGTAAGTTGGGCCTCAGGTAAGTTGAAGTAGACGAACTTCTAACCACGATTTCCATTTTTTGGGAATTTCAAGAAACCTGCAATTTGATAATTGAATTTTTCCGCAATACGTTTAACAATAATACAGATTAGGGAAATCTAAATATATAAGTCAACAACACTTCTAAATACAATAACACGAAAATGCATACAGTAGTGATTGAAGTATATTTCACTGCGTATTCTTACTCCCCACTCATAAAACCCTTTAAACACCGTTTTCATATGACAACATGCTGGAAGTAGGAATTAATGAGGGGGACTACATAAGCTACTTTTGCCGTGAGTTCTTTCACTTTCACTCCAATTTTTTCAGTAAAAGCAATGTCTTATTTTCAAGGTTTTGACAAAAAAATCGAACAGAACGTAAATTAACAAAAAAACTTGGAAACATGGAAAATATAAAAATAGTCGCCGTGTTTTTAAGGAATATTTAATACATATTGTACTCCAATACCTGAAAAAATCTAACAAAAGGAAAGTTAATTCATAATACAACTGAAAATTTAATTTGCATTTATGGGTCTTAGTAACAGTAATGTTTCAAGTCTACGGAATTTGAGGCAGTTTTTTAAAGGTGGTACTTCTCAGCAATCCAGTAGTTCAGCCGGGCCAATTCTGAAACACTCGGCGGGCCCGGTGGGATTCTAACCCACGCCGGAGAGGGGAAGGCATACGTACGGCAAACACTCTAACCAACTGAGCTACGAAGTCCCCACCGTGAGTCGTAATCTTAATCGCACGTGGGTCAATTTACTCGCCCAGCCTACTACAACGTATGAAATCCGCAAATGCTCATACAGCAAGCTGACGGCAAAAGCAGATTTCCTAGACAGTCAAACTATAGTCACTTGGGTGACTGCCAGACACAGTTAATTAGTAGAGGAAGGAGATTTGCAGATTTGCATAATTTATTTGACGCAGTTGTGAAAACCTCGGTGGCCTCGGTGGTATTTCCTGTGCAATAAATTTTAAAAACCCCTAACTCACTACTGGGCAAAATTGATTAGTCTGATTGAACTAACGAATCACGTTTGGGTGTCATAGCTCAGTTGGCTAGAGCGTTGGCCGAACTACAGCATTCCCCTTGCTCGCATGGATTCGAATCCCACCGTGTCCGCCGAGTTTTTAATAATTAGGTAAAATGATGCTGGAGGCCCGGGAAGGGGGGGGACCGGCAACTGGGGGTGTGGCGGTGGTGGGGGAGGGGGTTTGACTCACAGATTATTCCGCCACGCAGATACAGGTTAATGTGTTCGCCCTGGAGGGAGAATAGAAGACGTCTAGTCTGCCTCTTGCCCTTCACCACCGCCTCGAAGGCCTCATGTCGGTGATGGTATAAGTAACCCAGCATGCTCACCATGATACACACGGAGGACAGGTAGAGAAATGCGAAGAAAACCTACCGTACCGAAGGAATAAATCAAAGTCGTCAACAGATTCTTTTGTGTGTGAAAGAAAGAGAATTGCACAACAATTTCAAAACATAGCCTCAAGCAGTTGTAAAAGAGCGAAACTGCTTTTTTAAACACTGTAAAAAGCGAGTAGTTACCGCTAGTATGAAGTTGAAGAAGCTAACTACCCTCGCCTTGATAACTTATACTCATAAAGACATACGTAGCATCCTTTGAAAATTAATCGTATTCAGGGTTACACTTCCAATCACCATTTAGCAGTAACCCTATAGCACGTGCAAAAAACTGGGGCCCCCATTAACCCTGAGACAAGGGAGGCTTGAAACTGATATTTTTTGTGAGGTAATGCCCTGTTTCTTTCTAAAGGTATTCAGTCGTTATCGGGACCTCATTTAGCGAACGCATTTACGAGAACCACCTGTGTGTACTGAGTATGACTGAAAAAGCGAGTTCGGTGGTTTTCTTGAGGAGCACTAAAACTAAACAAGAAAGCAAAATAACCAAAGGAAGGCTACGCCTACCTATAATAAACTAAGATTAGATTAATAAAGTGCATAGTAAACTAAAAACTAAACTAAACTGAAAGTTATAGTACTCGAATATTCACCTCTATTGGCAAATTATAGTAACCACAGGATGCGACAGATCTCCGTGTTGGGGGATGCAATGTTGAAATAAATAACCAAAACCTCTAACGGGTTCTGTAAAGTAAATAAGCATTACTATAGTTACTAAAATGCGCATGTTATTTATGTAAGGATATTTACCTAACGTTGGCGAACAAATTAACGTTTACCTTATTGGTCTTCTATCCCGCCATATGACGAATCACAGTTCCGGGAAGGTATGATTACAGTACATTGCGCTACTGCGATTTCCTGCAGTCGACGTATTTACAGCCGCGCTCATCCGTAGTTAACTAGTGATATCCACTGGTAAGAATTTTTTCATTCATTAATCAAGCATGTGTTTGGGCTGGTTGATATATGAGCTTTCTTTCTCGAGCCGGTTGTCTCTTGCTCTCCTTTCAGCCCCGCCCACGGACGCCGACCGGCAATGGAGCATGGGTAG